TATGCAATTTTTCTCATTGTTGGCCGTTTGACTATGTTGTTTTTAGATTCCTTCAAAATTATTGCCTCCTCTTCTTTTGGGGGGAGGTGGGTGGATGGTCACAGTCTTTACTCACCTTGGAAGCCACTATCTGTAGTACCCAGATGTGCCACACATGAAGGATGAACTCCACACAGAATGTTTCTTACATGTAAATGCAGGACTCTTCTCAGGTAACTGAAGGGTGCCAAGTCAGGTCCTGACATTTACCTGAGAGAAGAACCAGGCACATTTTGGTACTTTATTACTCTAAATTTATAAATTGTTGGAAAATCTCTAAAGAAATATGCAAGTCTGAATTTCATGGTGCACTCATTCAATTCACATTTATTGAGCATCAGCTTTTTATGCATCAGGGCTCTTAGAGGTGCTGGGAAGAGACAAAGACCAGTAAGACAGAGATTCAGGCCAAACAGAGTTTGTAGCCTAGTCTGGAGGCACATGCAGTCCATGTCCATTATGTGCAGGTTCTGTATTTGCAAATCCGCCTACTCACTAAAATTTGTTTGTAACATCAAAATTGATACCCTGGGGACTCTTTGTGTCATTTGCCAATGTGCACCATGAAGCAAAAAACTTGACTCACCAACGCACATATTCCTAGCTGACATCAATTTAAGTCAAATTCTGCCTTGTTTCAGGTCTCATACTCTGAACAATCACACTTTTCGTGATCTTGTTTTCCATGTGTGCTTTGTGTTGGTGATTTCATTATTTAAAATGGCCTGCAAGCATCGTGCTGAACTGCTGTGTAGTGTTTCGAAATGTGAGAAGGCTGTGTGATGCACTTTATGGAGAACATGCCTGTGTTAGACAAGCTTTTGTTCCAAAGTTATCTAAGTTAAAGTGCTGCTGGATGTGAGTTCAATGTTAATGAAGCGACAATGTATATTAGGTAAGGTGTCTGTAAACAGAAACACATAAAACAAGGTCGTGTGCTGATCAGTTGATGAAAATGTTGTGAGCAGAGGCTCACAGGAACCTAACCCTCTATTTCCCTTAGGAGCAATGTTTCACTATTTGCTAGTTGAGTGTTTTTGGTAACTTCATAAAACATAGCTGTTGGGAATTAAAAAAAATTGACTATGTATGATCTGAGGTGATCAGCACGGCTGGGTGAATGTGATGGTGAAGGTGTGAAGGGAAAGGTGTGGAAGCTTACAGGGAAGAACAGTTGACATGGCCCTGGAGAGTTGAAGAGGGAATTAAAGAAGGGTTGCTTTTGAGCTGGGATTTTAAAAAATGAGTAGAAATTTAATGAACAGGCCACGATGAAATGCCACTTAAGGCCTAGGAGAACCATGTTCAAAGAAAGGACTGTCTGAAAGACCTTGACAACATCAGTAACCAAAGAAGAGATTAAAATCAGATCTCTTAAGTCATAGGCTCCAGTGCAGCCACAGGCAAGGGTTTTCAGCCATTACCAAGTCTCTCTACATAGTTTAGGCTGTGATTTTTGCAACAAGTGTGCAGCGTGTCAGCTGTGAAAATTGGCTCAATATTCATAATCAAATCTATTATGCTCCCTCTGAAGCCTGGCCATGTTTCCTTAGAAACCCTTAGTTACATAAAGGAACCCTGGCCCATAATTGGCAAGAAAACCCACCACCTTTGGAAGCCATTATAGTCATGCCAGAGGGAAAGCACTGCACGGTTCCTGGGGGAACGAGTGAACTAGGAGGACAAAATAGAAACTCCTTCCTGTAGAGCAGCAAGCAGGGAGCAATGCAGGGCTTCATGACACCAAATCCTCCAGCTTCCCCTCTAAATACTCGCCTATGAAACCACCCACTAAGTAGGAAGTCTGAAAGGAGCACTTTTGCATGCCCAGCATTTTTCAAGGCGCTGGGAGGACACACACATACACACACATTCTTTCTTTCATAGCTACAGCAGCTTACATCAGCCCTCACATCAACCTTCTAAGGCAAGTTTTACTACTCCCATTTTATGGAAGAGAAACCTGAAACTCCAAGAGCTTAAGTAACTTCTGTTCACATAGCTAGTGAGTGGCATACTCAACTTTGATTCCAAATCAAGCAGGTTTTTTTTTTTCTGTGTCTCAGAGAAGGTCCTTGTCCTCAGGCACCTTGCATATGCAATGAATGAGGGGCTCATCTTGTCAGTTTTACAGGAATTCAGAGGAAAGAAGTGTGAGGCTTCATTAGCATTGAGACCAGAGGTCTTTGATAGCTGGAGATGGGGAGGAAATTGTTCTAGGAGCCTACACAGGAGCAAAGGTGCAGAAACAGAAATGACCTTCTGAAGAACCAGGGGACTTACGCTGAGAAAGGGCACCATTCTTCCTTCCCCAGGACAGACCTCGGGAGATGGAGAGGAGCCCTGGATGCCATCAGTTCTTGTTGCTTTGTCTCCAGAGATGCCCATCTTTCATGATCCTGTCATTTGAATACTGAGGAATATTATCAGGGACAGATTTGTGCCCAATATTATTCTCAGCCGGGGGGATGTGTTTCAAACGTGAGGGAGTAGAACCTGGTCCACGGAAGGCAGCCAGCAGCCCTTGGGTGATGACAGTAATCTTCTCCTGATTATTCTCACTGAAGTCTCTTTTCTTCCTCAATCTCTGGCCCCCACGTGCCCTTAGCCTGTCATCATTCTCTTGATCGGAGGCTCCAGTCAGGGCTGCCCAGTCCCTGGAAGCTCCCAGGGTCAAGTGGAGCCTTCTCAGGCTGGTATTTCAGTCCTCCAGCCTCAGCTTCGCTTTGTCCAGTGCATCTGGCACTGCAGCCACACCGAACCCCTATGTCCCTCTACCTGGAGGGTCCTCGACCCTGTTTTCTACCTACAGAAGTCCAGCTCACCCCTCGGAGCTCAGCCGAAAGGGCTTGCTCCTGATTTCCCCCATCACAACGACTTCCATCTTGTGCTGGGACCCCGCAGCTGATACCTCCACTTTAGTTTGTTTCCTGGTCTGCCTTCTTGTAAACTGGGTTGGCAAGCTTTCTGTGTACTCCTCAAGGCTGGGGACATGTGTCCATCATTTAGCACAGTACCTGGCACTTTGCCAAAGCTCAAGAAATCTGGTTTTAAACAAAGAAATAAATAAATGATGAGGATGCCCTTGAAATTAGAATAGTTCAGTTTTAATTTAACTAAGATATTAAGGTTCATTTTAGCAAGTGTATATTGTGAATAAAAAACCATCTGAAATTTTATCTCAACCTACCTGCCCCCTCAATGATAGTTTAATTTCACTGTAATCTTTATTATACCAACCTCTAACCTTGTTATTAGTATTACTGATGAAGTTGAAAGACTATTTCATCTGATTATTGTGTCTCAGGAAACACTTAATTATTAAATCCCACACTGGTAATTAGAAACCCTATTATTCCACAATGGGCTAGGCAACACCATGCAGGCATCCCTCAATTACTGAAACAGAAGCTGTCTTTACATGTGTGGAAGTGAAATTTCATACATCAAGTAGTCTCTTCTCACCTACTTACATTGTATTATTAGAGGCAGGCAGGTGTAAAGTAAGGAGTCCTTTCGTCTGAAATGAGAGTGTTTTATGGGGTGAATGGCGTCTGTGGCTGATTTGTCCTTGCTTTTCCTACAACCTGACCAGGTTCAAGGTGGACGCAATAAGGTAGACATGGTGGTGTGTGGAGGTGGAACAAGAAGCATTTTCTAATAAAACCACCCCAGAATAAAATGGATCGCCTGTGCAGGGAACGACAGCAGTGGCTGGGCCACGCATCGGGGGGCCCCACAGCAGCCCAAATCAAGAATGCAGAAGTGCTTATTTCGACCCTAAGAACCCCTACCGATGCGGAGACTATTTCACTCTAACCAGACTGTTGCCCTCCTGGCTCCTGTCTGAATTCTTGCCAAAACCCAGAGCAGAAGCCATGAGAGGCAGCTCACACAAGCTTTTCAGACCCATGATTGTCAGTCTCAAGGAGGCTGGGATGTCATGAAGTCCTATATGGGGTGACACTGGGGCTCAGAAAGAGGAGGGACTTGGCCAAGGTCTCCTGAGGCTTCCTGCACCTCCAGACCTGCCTCCCTTGTGCTACCAAACCCACACAGCCCTGCAGTGACCCAGCTCCGGACACAAGGCTTGGCCAATTGTACAGGTTTAATAAACGTTTCGCGACGCTCCAGCTGATGGACTGGAAAAGGAAGCTGGAGAAGCCGGCCTGCAGGAGGCCCCCCCACCAGGAGCTCTGACTCACAACCTGTTTGGCACTGCTGCGGTCCTCTCTGGTTTCCTGAATCTCGCTCTTTAATGCAAAAAGCCTCCACAGATGTTTTAAAACAATGACCACGACAATGACACTGTAATCCCCTGCTTTCCCTTTGCATCACAGAATTTTTAAGTGTTTTTGTAGACTTGGCTCTTCAGGGTGATTCTGTTTGGACGAAGCATTTGTGAAGACTTTTCTGGTGGTCTCATCGGACCGCCGCCGCCCCCCAGGGCTGGGAACCTGTTCAGAGTGCAAGCCGAAAGGTCGGGTTCAGAATCCAAAGGAATTTGAGAATGGGGGTACGAGTTGCCATGGTCTGCCTGGACGCATGGGAGCTAATGTGAGGGTGGGTGTGAATCTAGGAATTGACAGCAGGGTCTTTCCTGTTTTGTTTTGTTTTTTTCCCCCTTTTATTTTTTTTCTCTTTTGGGGGGGAGGGGAATAATGGGTGTGGAAGGATTCGATGTATAGAAACAGCTAGAGCAGATTCGACTTCCTTTGGGAGGGCGAAGCCCAGTGGCCAAGGCCGAGAGAAGGGCAGGGGTTACCGCCTGTGGACGTGGTCAGCACCCGCTCCTGGGCAGAGAGGGGACCGGCCGAGTGACCACGGGGGTGGGGATCCCCAGGGGCCAGGGCGGGGCGGCCGCAGCGGGCCGGGCTGGGGGCGGGCCGGGGCGGGCCGGGGCGGGGCGGGGCGGGGCTCCGGCACCGTCTCGCAGGCTGCACGGCCGCGGGAGAGGCGTACACAGCGCGGCGGCTGGGGCAGCGGCGGACAGGCGGCCGAGCAGGGCGGCGGCGGCGGCTCCGGTGAGCGCGGCGCGGTGCGGGCGCGGCGGGGGCGCGGCGGGGACGCGGCCGGGGGTCTCCAGGGAAGCGGGCTCGTGAGGCGCCTGGTGAACCCTGCCATCCTCCCCGAGCTCCCGACACCCCTGCAGCCTTGGGAGAGGGAAGGAGGAGGGACAGTGCGGGACCCAGCCCTTTAGCCCTTCTGCGATCTCAGTCCAGACGGCCGCCTCTGCTCCCCATTGCCCCTTTTCCCCAAGACAGCCTCCTGATATGTTCCAGATCACCCCTCTCGCCCCTCACTCACCCACCCCCCACCCCTCACCCCCCAGGTATCATCTGCTCAAAGCCATTCTTTTAGGAGACCCCAGCCGCCTGCTTCCCCTTTCCCACCAGGAGAGACCGGGTTTCCCACCAATCCCTACGGCCCCAGAGGCAGGGATGAGCCCGCCCCGGCGCCAGCACACCTGGACCCTTCCGCTGCCACCTGCCCCCAATTCTCAGCCAGGCAGCCGGCTGCTGTGCCCAGGACCTAGGCCTCCTTGCCCTCCCCCTTCCTCTCTCCTCCCAGTCTGCAGACAGGGACTGACTTTATGGATCCCGAGCGCTGGGAACAATTTTACCCTCTTCCCAAAAGGCTGGTCCCAGGCCAGCCATGCTGTTCGGTGGAGACACCTGTCTTGCCAGCCAGCTGAAGGACCGGGAAGCCTCTGTCAAAATGGGCCAGCTGGTCCCTGGGTCCTCCTCCAAGCTGCCCCGACTTACTGGCAGTAGCCCCAGAGACCAGGACGAAGAGCTTCGTCCTTTAAGACCCCCAAAGCTATTTGACGACCCCACCCCAGACCCGCAGAATCTCCTCAGCGGCTGTGTTGGGAGTGCAGGGTTCAGCACAGACAGGTCCACAGTTCCCAGCCTGGCCTCCCCTCCCAGAGCCTTGGTTCCCACCCCCTTTCCCAGGGCAGAGTCACGGGGCTGGTATTTGGGGCCTCGGTCTCCCCTACAGCCCTGGGGCCCTCTTTGCTTTCCCTGTTCGAAACTTTTCCCTTTTCATCAGTCACCATCACTCTGGTTGGGCCTGGACCATCTGCACAGCATTGAGTCCCCAGGGCACAGAGCTGGGCTGGCACCGTGCTGGGCTGGGACCAGCGTGGACGCGCATGGGGAGGGTGGCTGCTAGCCAGGCCAGGCTGGGCATCTGGGCTGCGGTGGCAGGGGCAGGGCTTTCCCTGAGCTCCGAGTGGGGTCCGGGGGCTCCCTTCGCTGTGAAGAGAGGAGGCAGAGAGCAGGGGCTGTTTTTCCTGCATGCTTCCGACTGTCTTGTGTTGCTATGGTGACAGTTTTGCCTCCCTTCCTCCTTCTGACTCTTCTGGGAGCTGGATTTTATTGGTCTGTTGTCCTGTCTTTTATGGCTTTAATTTCTCCTTTCTACTTGCTCTGAAATAAACAGTCATAAACATGGGCACTGGGCCCAGGCTGGGGGCTGGCAGAGCCTCACCTCATCCTGGCCCTGGGCTCCTGTGAGGGAAAAATAGGGCAAAGAGGTGGGGACAGAACTGCCCACACTCCCTCCTGCCCCCAGCTCTGTGGAGGGGGCATCGGCATGGCACCACGGCCCCAGGCACACAGTGGGTTGCATCCTGCCTCGGTGCTAATAATAGATGTCAAGTGGGGTAGAGGAGCTCACGGGGGTTATTTCCTTTCATCTTTATGATAGCCCTGTGGGGTAGGGGCTCTCCCTACTTTGCAGAGTGAGCTGTTGCCCTCCGGTCACACTGATTTTAGCACATAGTGCTCAGTTTCTGCTAACTGAGTGGCTCAGTGATGGAGCTGGCATCTCTGGCTTCCTCCCCTGTGGGAGGGCTTCCTGGTCCTGCTCCCAGAGGGACAGCGAAGCCCCCTCAACCCATGTTCTGGGAGGCTCATGGAAAAGCGGTCCCCAGTTTCTTTGCTCCTCGGTGCACTCTGGACTCCAGCGGAGGCCAGCTGCCAGGGAGTGGCGTGTCAGATGTCTTGACCCCAAGTTGGGACCCAAGTTGAGAGGAGAGTGAAGCCACTTGTGACTTCCTGTTTTTACTCAGCACTGAGAAGCATTCAGTTTGCTTTTACTAGATGCAACCGGATGAGTCAGGGACATTGAGAGCTGATCAGTCCCTCCCAAGCCAGCCCTTGTCAGAGTGCACCAGGCCACAGGGTCACCCACTGTCCACTGTCAGTGACACTCTCCAGAAAAGCTGCCCCTTCTCTTCTCTTTTATGTTTCCCTTCATTGCACATTCTTTCCTTCGCCACTCCTTCCCCTTCTCCCCTCACATTACCCATGCTCTGGGCTTGTTAATAATAAGCATTAGGGTCACAAGAAAAGACCAGAGAAACGGAGGCCTCAAGGTCAATGTTGGCCCTGAGGAAGTGCCTTCATTCACATGGGCCTCAGTTTCAGTCTTTAAAATGGGGTTGAGAGCATCTGTGCTGACAGCCACGTTTGCGTGTTCTTGGAGGACGGTGCTTCGAAGGGGTGCAAGCCTGAAGAGCCAGTAATGGCCTCCTTCTGTTGGGAGGTCTCACTGTTAAAGGGGCCCTGAACCACTGCGGAGAGATTGAGAGCTGATGTAGGAATAATTAGCTGTACAGCCTCAGGGCTGGAGGCATTCTTGAGGCAGCTTGTCCGGCCTTGATATTGAACTTGTTTCTTTATGTATGTGCCTCAGGTTAATTGAGCATCTACTCTGCACCAAATCCAGTTTTGGGAACTGGGGATTAAAAAAACGCATACGGCTCCTGTTCAAAGCATGCAGTTTGGTGGTGAAGGTGGAGGTGGAAAGAGGTCCTTGTAACTGATGCATTCAGAGAGGTGGTGTGATGAGGGAAGAGACAGCGGGGTGGGGGCCCAGACATGGCGGCTTGACTGGGCCTCCCATTGAGGTTGAAGCAGGCAGCCTGTGCCTTGTGGTGGAAATACGGCAGCCCTGCCCCTGCCCGCTTGGCCACCCCTCGTCTGGCCCTCACAGCGATGGGCCGACTGCTGCAAACTGCTCTTTCAGCTCTGTGAGCAGGGACCGGAGTGACAGGTGAGGAACCAGCACTGCCTTCCCCTCTGCATTTTGACTCATCCGCTCATTGCAGCCTCTGATTCCTATTTCATCTTGGTCAACACCCTTTCTTAGGGGCTGCGTGGGGACTGGAGAGTGGATTTTGAGTTCAGACTCTACTACTGTTATGTCCTAGCTGTGAGACTCTGAAAGAATAACCTCTCTGAGCCTCAATGCTTGTACCTGTGAAATGGCAATAATGATGCTTGCCTTCTAAGAAGTAAATGATCTTATGTATTTATAGGATCTGGCATGGTGCCCACCTCACAGTAGACGTGCTGTTATTTAGTTCTATTGATCAGAAAAGAGATCGCAGTTACGGGGCCTCTGGGTCCTCTTAGAGATGCGGTGGGAAGCTCTTTGGACGAATCCTGGCATTCGGAGATCCATTTATTATCTAGGAAGGTTAACCACCGCCCCCCCACCCTCCCACCCCACAGTGCTCAGGTTCCTCGCACTGCTGGTTAATCTTTGCATTATTTATCTCTTCCCAGATAAGCTATGTTCTACAACGCCAGGGCACTGTGCAAATCACCAACACCTTTGTCTTCTCAAAGAGGAACAAATTTGAAATGTCAACAAATGCCCTGAATTTCAGAAACATGTTACTATCTGTGAGAATGATATAATTTGATGTAGTTCCATGTGTTTATTTTTGCTTTTGTTGCTTTTGCTTTGGTGTCAAATCCAGAAACGTACTGCCAAGAGGCATGTCAGAGAGCTTACTGCCTATGTTTTGTTCTAAGAATTTCATAGTTTTGGGTCTTAACATTCAAGGTTTTAATGCATTTTAGGTTAATTCTTGCGTATGATGTACGATTGTGGTCCAGTATCATTCTTTTGCATGTGGCTATCTAGTTTTCTCAATACCATTTATTGAAGAGACTGTCCTTGCCCCATTATATATTTTTGGTTCCTCTGTCAAAAAGTGCTTTAAAATAAGTGCTCCATATTTTTTATTCTCAGCATCTTTGGCTTCCTTTTATTTTTTAAAAGTTACCATATATGTGTATTTACATTTTTTTGAAATCATCCATTCAACTTTTTGACATTAGCATTATCATCCCCTTAAGAAAGCGGGGAAGGTGAGGTCTCTTGCACAGAGTCCAGCAGTTAGTAAGTGGCAGGGCCAGAATTTAAAACTGGGTCCTGCTTGCTCTTTGTGCCATTGCACAGTCTTGTCATTTCCTTGGCTGGCGTGTCAGTGACCTAAAATAATTGTGTTTGAAGAATGCAAGCCAATTTTAACGGGGGTGGAACTGGTCTGTGTTGTAGCTCAGGCTCATAGTAAATATTTAGAGACTTATTAGGGCTCTGTTCTCAGCACAGCAGTAACTAGGTTTTCTGCAGGTGGCTGAGGCTTCTTCTCCAGAAGTGATGAATAGAAGAGGAGTTTGATGTGTCTGAGTTAGGAGGAAGCGTTTGATGATGCCGGTAGTAGCTTTCTTTGCCCAAGAATGGATTGCTAGTTTGTTGCTGGAAGAAAGTGAGCTGATTTCATGACTGAATGTGTGAAGGGAAGGCAGGGCAGAGACATCCCAGGGATACAGGGAGAGAAGCAAGAAGGCCAGAAAGTATGGGTGGATGGCTCCTCAAGTACAAAAGTGATTTTGATTCAGGCAGTTTAACTCCCATCTAAGAAGGTGGAGGTATTGAAAAGCAATTACAGAATCACTCACTGACCTTTTTCAGGAACTCGGAAGGCTGATTGGCCAGATTTAAGCAGCCCGTTGTCCCAGTGACTCCAGGTGCCGGGAAACGGGTGCCACGTTCGCCATCAGTGAGCTTACCAGGTCCACCTTGGCACCGCAGACAGATGTGTTTCTATTTGCAATTATCTCAGGCCTGCGTCTGGTGTCTGCTTATTTAATGACTTCCCTTTCTAATAAAAAATCCTATATGGCATGGATAATTAGATCTTTAAAATGAAACTGGGGAA